ACAATCTTAAACTATTTGCGCTAAGTTTTCCGGTTCAATTTCGACTTTTTCTCCACTGGGTCGATTCGCTGAGATCATCGCATGATCCTCGCGTCAGGTTTCATTTCGCTCTCCAGCCAAAACCATTGCAATTCCTTTTCCTACTGAGACATTGATTTCTCAACTACGCTTTTTCTTTTAAAAGCTCGACCTTTACGCTAACTCAAAAACATAGCTTTACCATCACAATTTAGTTATTACCTATTCTTATTTAGTACTCCTTATTGTTTCATTCTGTTGAGAGAATAGATAGCTTCATCAAATGAATCTTGTCGGATATTGCGATTTCGCCCTCACTGCTCCATTATTCTTCTCAACTCCCATCGTTAACACATTCGCCAAAAGTGAATTCGTCAAGCAAAAAAAAGGCGTCATTAGAGTTTTTCACTTTATTTATTTGTGTTCGTCGAAGGGATGGTGTGCTGAGTCAGCGCAGTCCACAACAGCTGTTCTGCAAGCGTTTCTCGCTGACTTTTTGAGACGTTCAGTGCCGAAGAGTCTGATAGAGCTACACATTAATTACTCTGCGAACTACGTACATTCTTGTTTGTCACGAACGCGTTTCTATCGAGAGATTTCCAGGCGCAAATGTTTGGGAAACTACGGGTTTTGCGTCTTCTAAACTATGTTATGTTACCTCTTCATGAGGAAGTTTACTCCTTTATCTGCTCACTAATTCGATGGCCTTGATTTCCTCACTATCAAATTTCTCAGCTTTAAGTTAGATATTTCATCCATTCTTGTAAAATTTATTCTAAGCTGGTGATCGTCTGGAAATCATAAATGCGGAATGTTTTTTATAGAATAAATCACAATCGCCAGCAATATCAACATATTCCAGAAAATTGATTTGAACTTCAAGTAGGCAAACTCTAGTACCTTCTTGTAAGCAACAAATACTCACATCTATACATTCTCGTTGTTCTAGCTGAACCTGGAATTACAATTATAGGCAATACCTTGCAGAATTGGCAAAAAGCTCAAAAAAAAGGCTAACATTCCAGTTGGCGGTGTTCGGAAGCACTTAGAAAGCCTTACCAACTTCTTCCGTACAAGCTAGAACAAATCCATGAGTCATCTTTTTCGACTTAGAAAAACGTTTTGTAGGGTAACAACTTTAAGAAAATACTGCGAAAACATCAAAATCTATATAGCGGTAAACATAGATTTTTTCTTTCTGACTTCGTTCTTCTTAATTCGTAAGTGCAAGCCTATTGTACCATGGTGGCAAAAGTTTGATCAAACAGTGTAATTTGATCGAAAAGCCATCTCAGCCAAGCCCTTCTTCAATACAAATCTACTTTATATCGCGCTAGCTGCGGCCTCCAATATAGCAAATTTAGCGTTCTACATGTATAACCCAAATAGGGTATTTTGGTTCATAAAGGACGGCGACTTTCTAGAAAGAAATGCACAACTCCATCAACTGTAAACTCAGTGTCGATTTGGAATCTTGAAACATTGATTAAGAATAGTTCTCACTTCCTCTATATACTTGAAATCCACAATTGATAAGCGCGATTTATATTCTACCTCTAACCTTTAGAGGCTCGCATGCCAATGGAAAAAAAATTGAGCTGCTTTTGACAACAATTTAGCGAACTGAGAGCATTGCATGCGTACTACCAGGCTTAGAATTTGAGGACCATTTTTTACAATTTGAAGGTCTAGGTTCTTTATGATTTAGGCAAATACTATGGCTGATCTTGATTACCTTGTCATCTTTAGAATTAAAGGTCGCATCTCCTTATCTAGAAATTTTAAGATTTTGTGTGAAGATATTCATAAGCTTTCCGTTGCGTTTGCTTTGACTGTGGGAACAAAAACTGCTTGTTGTTCTGGTCAGCCTAGTGTGAAGAAAACAAGAAAGCATCCAAGAGTTTGAGCAAATATTGTTTCTTCGATTTCTTCAACTTCCTTCGAATTTACGCTTTCACTGTATCCATACAGTGCAGCACCCCTTAATTGCTTTTCAGCGTTCAAAAACTTGAACAAACTCTTTCTTTTCACTCGAATGGCGAAAGCAATTATAGAACGAGAGAAGAAAAGTTCTCTGCACTTATTTGCAAATGTTCAACTTCCTTCTTTTCATTTCTAAAAAAAATTCTTGTCAACATGACATGTAGAAAACCGTAGGAACAACCATAGACTCAATGTCATACTACAGGCTTTTTATTGTTGCTTTTTGGAGAAACATTAATTATCAGCGATGGAAATTATCTTTATCTAAATACTGTAAGTATTGATAGTATAACTAGCTAAATATATTGTTTTATTATTATGTGCCTTGAGAAGAAAAGAGCGTGATAAAGTAATTATTCCTCGAAAAAAACTTTCTGATAACTCCAGCTATAAATTTTAAAAAAACTATACGTGAAGATGGTAGAAGTTCGATTCTCAGGCGTAGACTTTGTCCCGACTTCACCCTCTACTTATCTTTGTTATTTCTGGTAACTCGCGATTCTTCCACATACTGAACCC